TAATAATGATAATGGCTGGCTGGATCTGTCTGGAACTGCTGCTGATGGCTGGAGTCATAGGTCATTCTACTGCTGGAGCAGATACCACACTCTGATCCTAGGCATAGTCTTTATTTAACATGAAATGCATGTTTGCGGCTCAAGGCCTTAAGGGAAGTAGGGAAAGGTTGGCCATCCTTTGACTACCCTAAACCTAACTAATCTGATTCATGACCCATTCATTCTAAACAATTGACTCATTCACCATAAGAACTCACCCTTTTTCACCCAAACAATCATTTACTTAAAAACCATATATTTGCAAGGTGTTGACTTTTGAGGTCTCTTTATATGCTGAATCGGTTTTATAATAATCGCTGGTCCTAGAAGGTGAAGTTTCTTTTTCCAGTGTTTTTTCTTTTAAGAATGTAGGAATGCCAACAGGATACAACACAAAAATCCCATGTCAGATGTTCTTTAGACCATTTTAATCTTCTATTCTGATGTTTTTTTTATTAATGATACTTTTACTGCTATAAGCCTATTCAAGTTGTTTTTGTTAATACTCTGTGTACTGTATCAACTGAAACCTCAGTGTTAAGACTGCATTCATACCTCACTTGTTTGACTGTTAATTTTGGATTGACTACCGAGACTCTCACAATCTTTCTTTTATCTCTCTTGTCTAACTTTTGTGGTCTTCTGGATTTTTTGCACTTAAAACACTTCCAGTAATAGCAAACATCTTTTGGATGGTTTGAAAATTGTTTCTGGAAATTTCCAGCTGCCTGACTATCTCTCTTTGAGTCATCTTCCCCTTCAAAGTCAGTCTTGTTATGATCCAAAATGATGACGATATTTCATCATTCTAAAAACAACCTTTCCACCAGTGATGATTGATGATAAAGATATTTCATCATCCTGGAAATAAAGAACAAATATTTCATCATTCTATAAATTTGAAACTTCATTATAAAAACAACCTTCCCAACATGGACAGTAGAATAGCAGTAGTAAAAAGGAACAACAGAGATGTATCACAATCACTCCATGAAAATCAACGGTTGACAGTCTCAAAGGCTACCCTTAACAAATAAATTTGAGGAACAAGCAAAACCATGCAAGCACAAAGTTTTAAAGAAACGAAAGCAATAATAACACTGAGAACATTTTTAACACACACAAAACTAATATTGTAATTAACACCAAGAAAAGAAAAATACACATTTCAGCACGTGTCTCAGTCTTATTGTTTATGTTATTGTTGTATGTTTTATTCATTTCATTTTCAGTAAAAAAAAATAGAGAAAAGAAATCCTCTATCAAATAACAACAGGATAATTACATTAACAACCTCAACATTCCACCACCATCATCTTTGTTTCAGAATAGATTTTAACCATGATTTTAGTGTAAAAAAGCTAATGTTCAACGACAATAACTTGCCAAGGCACTTTACCTACTTGTTAATAAGATGGAACAATTCCTATGTAGAAATTTGCATATCATGATGACTTTATCATCTCAGATTCTTCATTGACCCAATAGTTTTGCATGTCCTTTTACCATCTTCAAGCTGCTTAAAGTTGTGTATCTTCTGTTACATGGCAACTATGAAAACATAACAGCTTATTTTCCAATCCTCAAGGTCCACAGACACTGATAAAAGGATACTACTAAACAATCTTAACTTTTTAATAAAATAAAAGGTGTATAATTATTTTATGTAGATGTTCCAAAACTTCTGCACATCATTATAGTTCTGGGTATTTCCATGGTGCCACCTACCATTGCCTTTACATACTGCTATCCTGTGACTATGTCAGAGTAATAAAACAGAGGCATAAGCTGCTTAAAGTGGTGTATCTTCTGTTACATGGAACCTATGAAAACACAACAGCTTATTTTCCAACGTTTTGGCTGTTGTATGCTCTGGCCTTCCTCAGGTGGTTGGAATGTTAAACTGAACCCTTTATTTTGCTCACTTCTGCTTAATTCCCTCTCCAAATTCTCCACTACCTTAACCAGGTATTGAACTCACACACTTTGGGTCCTGTCACTGGATCTAACTAACACCTTTATCCTCTGTGCCATGTGTCCTTGAAGATATTTGTGTATGAATTTCTGGCTATTATAAATCTAATGTCTTCAGCAACCATTTTTACCAGTGCTCATATTGAAAATTTTGCTGTTATCATTGCATGTTTTTACCAGAGCTCATATTGCAATTTTTGTTGTTATTATCGCTTTTCTCTGGCACTCCTTATTACTGGCTCCCATATTGTGTTCATTTCTATGCTTGGTCGGCTCAGGAGATTTTTGTGGCCTAGCATATGTGCAGATTCCTTAACTTTACGAATTTTCCAATGGTGTTCTTTGTCTATGATCTCAACCTGATCCCACAGAGGGCAGTGATCTCAATTTCTCCCCATATGTGGTCAGCTATGCCTGATTTTTTCACTTCTCCTCATGCTAAAGCTGTCTGGTGTTCTTGAAGCCTTACATTAAGGGGGCAGCCTGTCTCCCCTTCATATTTCTTTCCACAGCTGCATGAGATAGCGTACACACAGTCTTTAGTTATGTTCTCCTCTATGGGGGGGGGTCTTACTCAGGAGAGATATCTGTAAAGTGTCATCCAGCTTTTGAAGGTTGTCTGATGTTATATGGACCGCAGATCCTTTGTATTTTCTCTGATAACCCCTTTACATAAGGCAGGCAGACTGTTAGAAAACAGTCTGCCTGCCTTAGGTGAAGGGGTTATCAGTGCTGTTGCCATGTACCCAGAAATTCATACACAGATGTCCTCAAGGACACATGGTACAGTGGATAAAGTTGTTAGTTAGATCCAGTGACAGGATCCAAAGAGTGTGACTTCAATACATGGTTAAGGTAGTGGAGAACGGAGAGGGAATTAAGCAGGAGATAATCTGATAAACTGATATCCATTAGACATGGTACATGGAATTAGAACAGTCTACCCCAGTGAGCGAAATACAGGGTTCAGTTTGACATTCTAACCACCTGAGGATGGCCGGAGCGTACAATGACCAAAACATTGTGATAAATATGGCGACAAAGATGAGGACAATAGTCTGAATTATGTGAATAGTGTACATAATACCTCATAAATATAGACATTATGTGTAATTATTTTATGTAGTTGTTCCAAAACTTTTGCACACCAGTGTAGTCTGGGTATTTTCATGGCGCTACCTACCATTGCCTTTACATACTGCTATCCTTTATCTTTTGGAATGTCAGGATAATAAAATGGAGGCATAAGCAGCAAAAAATCTATTTAAAAAAAACTGTTTATGTTTTTTTTGTAATACTTTCTGTTGCGTACTGTATCAACTGAAATCTCAGTTAAGAGTGAATTCATTCCTCACTTGTTTGACTGTTAATTTTGGATTGCCTACCAAGACTCTCACAATCTTTACTTCCTCTCTCTTGTTTAACTTTTGGGGTCTTCCAGTTTTCTTTGCACTTAAAACACTTCCAGTCATAGCAAATGTCTTTTGGGTGGTTTTAACACGGTTTCTGGAAATTCCCAGTTGCCTGACTATCGCCGCTTTCAAAGTCACAACCTTCATTTTTCATGATTTTAGTGTAAAAAAAAAAAAAAAGAAAAAAAATTGCAAGCTAATATTCAATGACAATGACTTTCCAAGGTACCTTACACTCATGTTAATAAAATGGAACAATTCCTATGTAGAAATTTAAATATTATGATGACTTTATTAACTCAAATCTTTCACTGGCCCAATAGTTTTGCATGTGCTTTTTTTAGCTTCTAGCTGCTTAAAGTGGTGTATCTTCTGTTACACAGGATCTACTAAAATGAAACCATTTATTAATAAAAATTTACTAGTTACTTGTTCAATTTGATATTCAGAAGATACTGAGTATAAAAAATGCAGAGTGTCATAAGTAATTTTCATATAGAGTCATAAATAAAAATTAATCAAATATTGTCCTTATTTTTTAATAGTATGGATAAACTAGTCTTGAATAAAGAATTCTAAATATAATTTTGATCTTCAAAAATTTAAATGCAATGCCAGTTGTTATTTTCTGTCTTCTTAATTTCTGTTCTTTATCCTCAATAATGTTTTCTTTTTCTAATATTCTCTCCCACTCAGTAGTGTCTTAGTGGCTTTATTGCCTTGCTTGGGGTGAAATGATTAAAAAAAAATCTAAATTACATGTTGAATTACTGCTTCTTACAAAATTATTTCAAATTATACTATGTTTATTTTAAAAATATTTCATTTTGCATTTTTTTAATTTTTAAATTTTACAAATATATCAATTAATTGAAGTAAAAAATGTAACATTTAAAATTTTTTGTTTTATATATTTTAATTTAAAATTACTTAAATTTTTATCTTTACATTTTGATAGGCATATCCAAATTCAGACTTTCACTTTCCGCTGTGGAACTTTTTTCTTTGATTACTTTTCAGCTAATGGAGTTATGCGCTCGAAAGTCAGAATGAAAATTTCATATTTCTTTATGAACGAAATTTACTTTCGGGAAAAAAAAACCATAAATTCATTACAGAATTTAAAAAAATGTTACCAACCACAACAAGACACGATTATTATAGATAGACTGTTAGTAAACATTCCTTATCGAAATAAAATATCGAGCGATCGTCTATCTCCGTCAAATGTATTTCATGTGCCGAAAACCGCGACTGTATAATATCGGAAGTCTCCGGCCATTTCCGCAGTTGCGGTGTCTTGCCATTAAGCGTTATGTCGAAAGCGGTGCAAAACCGGAAAGTGCCGAATAGTGGCGAAATCAGACGGTGATTTCCATCGCGGCATCATCATCAGCAGCAGCAGCAGCAGCAGCTGTGGTCGTTGTTGTGCGCTTTTCTCTCCACGCCCAGCAAGAGTCGTGCAAAAATCAAGCTTGTTAAAAGCAAAGTTGAAGTCGGGTTTTATTTTATCTTTTTTTTTTTTTAAACTTTTAAAATTTTGTTTTATCAGTAATAAATCGCCTTTCTCTCCAAATGTTATGCATTCGTGACATGGACAGCCAAGGTATATCCACCGCTGGGAGTTCAGAATACTTCAACAAACTTAAAACCGTGTTTGAAGTGTGCGATGAAAAGAATGATGGATATATTACAATTGAACATTTCGAAAATTTAATCCGCGAACATTTTGGAGGTGGAGAAAGCGAGGTAAATAAATTCTTGGATAATTTCTTTTTATTTGTATACCAATGCCAAGATGTTTGTTTAGCTTTAGAAAGAAAGAAAAAATAAATTCTTGTTTCTCTTTTTTAGCTTTTTTTACCCTTTTGATTTGGCATACCCCCCTTTTTCCTTACCCCCAACTCTTTTTACTTTTTAAATCTAAATTATAGTTTGATCGATCTTGCAGAAAGATATGATTTTTCTTTTTTTAAAATCTAAATATTTTATCGATAATAAAAATTGTTTTTTTTTTTTAATTTTTTTTATTTATTTATTTATTTTTTTTGATAAACCGCCATTTTTGCGATGGACAGTGACTGGACACCGGCTGTATCGTTGATTAGGGCTTAATTATGTGTTTAAAAAATATTTAAAATACCTTTAGCCAGATATAGGTTCTGATGTGTCATTCAAACAAAATTAATTTTAAAGTTCACTATCTGCGTGAGTAAACTAGGATTTTTTTTTTTTTTACCAAAGTTCTTTAATTTATTTCAAGACATGTTTTCGTTGATTCTCTAAAAATGAAAACAAAATATTCTTCTTCTTTTATTTCTTTCTTTTCTTTATTTCTAAATATTTACCTTTTTATTTTTCATATTTTTATTTTATCGATGCTTTGCTTTTTTTTTTTTTTACTTTTCTGCAAGACTGGAATGTCTTAGAATAATCTTGGCGCTAATCTAACGGTTTAACTAACTTTCTCTAAGATATTCTCTTCTTGAGAGTCTTTGACACTGAGAATGTCATTTCTCATTGTTTTGTTTTTTTCTGACACTATCACTCACAGGATTTAAAATCAGATCTCTTCAGTCTTCAGTATACTAACTAAAAAAATAGTCATCATTATTATTAATTAATAATCAAAAGACAGGGCACACGAACAATTATGTATCATTTAAAAATGTTTTTAGAGTTAGTGTTTTCTTTCTTTTATTAATCACTATTTAAATTTTGTTTTTAATTATTATTTTTTGTTTTTAGTTTTCTTTAGAGACATAACACCACAAGTGAGTGACTATTTCATTTTTTTAGTATAAATGTTAATCGCATTGATGTTGTTAAGTTAATGTTATTACTTTATTGAATGACCGGTATCTTCTTTGACTTAAACAATTTATTAGTACATTAATTGTACCATCTGAATTGAATACCCTTTTTCCGATCTTTTTAATTTTTTTTTTTTTCATAAGAATTATTTGTATTTTTATTACTCTGAAAATTCTTTAAAACTGACTTAATTGATAGCATTATGACTTTTTTTTAGTAAAAATAAATTGACAAATTAAAATCACGTGTACAAAACAAAACCTCTTGCTTTTAAATAAATGACCAGTAATAATAATAATAATGTTAATTCTACTTTAATTTATTGTCGTAAAATAATTTCTGAATGAATGAATTTTTATTTTTTAAATTCTTTAACTTTTTAGCCAACGATGATTAATTTTCTTTAGATTTTTTAATGATCATTAAAAAAAAATCGTTATTTTTTTTCCTTTTATTGTTTTCGATTCTTACTTCTAATTTGTATAAGTAAATAATAAATAAATAAAGCAGACTGTATTTTTTTTCTAGTCTAGCTAGATTTTTCTTTTGTACTCTTTAAGCGAATTGTGCCGCCCACCAACTTAAATGTTCATGTCACTCTTCTTAGTCTTTCATTCATTCGGTTAGAAAATCGGATATTGCCGAATAAATACTTAAATTCCAGGAATTTTTCCAATTATTATTCAATAGTGATTAGTCAGAATAATTTATAGAAGTTCAACGTGGTACGATTAATTTCCTCTTCCGTACATAAGGTGTCTTCTTAACTTTACTTACTAAATAAACTAAAAAAAATAAATGTAAAAAAAAAAAACTGTACTGTAGACTTAATAATTAATTTGTTTAAATAGGAAAAATGTATATATTCTTTATTCATACATTGTTATGTATAATAAACTGTTAATTTTTTTTTGTATGACTTTTTTTTCTATTTTTACGTGTTTTCGATTTAATCGAAACAATTTTTTTATTCAAAAACTGAAGTGTGTTACAAAATTGTAAATGAAAAAAGTTTTCCAATTACCAATAAATTTAATAAATAAAAGATTAATTTTTAAAAATGAAATGCAACTCGCTTTAAAAATATTTTATTACTTTTAAACTTTGATGGAAATATAGTGAATTGTTTTTTTTTTTTTGTTTAACATCAGTCATAGCCTGATGACATTTGTTGAAAGTTGTTCACATTGGTAGTTATTGGTGACAGGCAGATTTTTACTTAAGTACTACTCTAGCATTTTATAATTCCCTCCCCACCTCTTTTTTTTTTTTTTTTTTTTTTCGTGACGATGGTTTGATTTTTCTTTATTAAAGTAAACAGAAAACCTTACAAAAACAACAACAGAAAATCACGATTTCATTCCAAGTATGCATTTTTTCTCATCAAAAATTGAGGATCTTTTGAAGGTTTTCGCCTTGGAGTTTGAAGTTAAACCCCGTCTCTCACAATTCATTCATTAATGAAATTTTTAAACCAACGACTGTCATACAAAACAAAACAAACAAAAGAAGCAGAATATGTATATATATATATTTTTTTTTTTTTTTTTTTAAATAAAATTTGATGATTAGAAACCCATTTTATCTAAAACTAGAAATTTTAAGTTAAAGCATACCCCTATGTTTAAATCTGATTCTATGGACTTGTAAAAGAAAATGGAGAGTTTCAGTCGTGTGTAACTAGTCTAAGTATTAGTAGTGTAAAGAAAAAAAAACTTGGTCAGTCGTCATAGAGACCCTTCGATAGAACCAACTTTATTTTTTTTATTTTTAGTACCTGGTTATTTCTCACAATATCCCGTTTTTGTAAAATAGGTGATTACGTGCCTATTTACAATTTTTTTTTTTTTTTAATCCAGGTATTTTACCTGAGTTTTTCTACTTGAAAGTCTTCTTAATGAATGTCATCATCAATGTCTTCAAGTCACGCTATGTAGTCTACGCATCACGTAAAAAAAAACAAAAAACGAACTTTTCAAGTAACTAAGTTTATTTTTTGGAAAATTAAGAATTTTGAATGGAGTATTTTTATTTTACCTTTCAAAAGTCCTAATTTCTGACTGAGTGAAATGCTACTTCACTTCTTAGTTTGTTCATATTGAAAATGTTATTAGAAAAAAATCAAAGTACATTTTTTTATTACAAAAAAAATCTTTGTAAAGCTTTTAAAAGACAAATTAAGTCATATTGTGTTCAGATTTTTACGTGATCTTCTCAATAATTCAAGTTATTTTGATAAACATTTTTTGACGATAAGCCTATAAAAATTCCCACCGTGTCGTGATGAGTAAGTTAAGAAGTAGCAAGTATTATTAAGTAGACAAGTATGCTTACAGGTGACAAACTCTGATGATGATGATCCTTTAAAATTAACTTCTGTAATCCTTGCCATTAGTAACTGGGAGAAACTTTGACAATCTTCTTTTTGTAATCAACTTTAACTTGAAAAAAAGGATAAAAAAAAAGAAGTGGTACGCACATCTTTTTTTTTTCTTTCTTGATTTTTAAATTGTTTTGTGAAGTTAATTTTAAATGATTTTTTTTTTTTAGTTTTTTTTTTTTTCGCTTGTTGCTGCATCTTTCTTATTCTTTCAGTAGTTAAATTAAAACATTAACTTAGTTCATAATCTAAAATAAAATCTTATCTTTTTCTTTACTTGGAGGGGCAAAAATATATTTTTTTAATGTTCTGTTCAAGTAGCGCACTATGACATTCTCACTCAATGTTCAACTATTAAAAAAAAGATATCTCGAAGTTGTTTTTTTACTTACTTATTGATTGACAATTGACATTCATTTACTAGTATTTTATATAAATTTATATAAAAGTATAAATTAAAATGTATAACAATAAGAAAAAGAAATACGTGGTCATTTTCCAGGAGTCTAAAGCATATTTATAATTATAATAATTTCGATCATCTGTGAATAGTTTCACAAAGTTTCATTAACATCCGACAATTATTTTTATTTTTGGTCCTTAATAATATAAGCATTTAGACGATAAAATTTTGTTTTCGTCAAGTTTGGCGTCTTTTATTTTATTTTATTTTTTTTTAGCGACTTCATGGAGGTACCTAAAAAAAAAAAAAAAAAAAAAAAAACGCATAAAATTGCTCTTCAAAAAAGGGAACGACAGGAAATAATCACAGCTAATTTGAATTGAAGGCTAAAAAAGATAACAAAAATAGACCTCAAACGAAAACAATAACTAAACAAAAAAAAAACAAAAAAAACTCGTTCAATTTTAAAACTTTGTTATATAACAATATTGTTGACCTTTTTTTTTTAGTGTTTTTTTTTTTTTAAAATTTAATGCATAATTTAATTTGCAGCCCCCGGTCATGCTAAAAAGTCACAAAGTGTCTGGTTGTCGTTTTTATCACTGTTGTACAGTTGGTCAGTATTACTAATGCACTGATTCGGAGGAAACAGTAGGCTATGATACATAAAGATTTACATGTTTTATTGTTCATTCATGTCCTTGTCCTTTCGTGTTTTTATATTTGTGTGTGTGGTTTATGATGAAACGTGATATGCCCACAGCTGTTGCGCCATCCGACGCATTTATTTACTCTGTAGTCATATATTTTTATTTATTTTTTTTTTTTTGCAAGATGAATCATCAATGAAATAGAAAATAATTTCAATTTGTTCAATATTTTTCTCTGTCTTCATTCATTAATTAAAAAAAAAAAACGAGTCGAAAATTTGACAAGTGTTTTTTTGTTTTGATAATTTCTGCTGTTTTTTTTTTTAATTGGATGAATAATTTACTTATAAATTTTCCTTAGTATTTTTTTTTATAAAAATTAGAATTTAATTTTTATTTATTTATTTTATTTATTTACTTATTACTAATTTGCTTTGAAATGTGTGTGTGTAGTTTTTCATCTTTGAAATTTGACGATTTTATTTTTTTATTATTCAGACAA